TCTACCAAAGTGCAAGTGTGGAAAAACATGCTTGATGCAAAATTATTGGGACAGTGGTGAAGTTGGACGCCACTACTGGCACTGTATGAACCAGTTTACAAGGTTCCCAGCAAACCTATTTGTGATTTTGAGGAATGGGTTGATGAACCATGTTATCAGGAATGCTACAAAGAACAACTGCAGTATCTTCATAATGGGTGTTTAAGACAATGGGAATATGAAAAAGAAAGCAATACAATTATTGCAAACTTGAGGGCGAAACTGAAGGAGGTGGAAGAAGAAAAATGGAAAACACAATGGAATTGTGAAGCACAAAAGGAACGTAAAAAAAAATATATAAACGGGAACTTGCGGAGGTGAAGGCAAAACTGAAAGAGGTAGAAGAAGAAAAAGAACAACTGGAAGAACGATTTAAGTGGTTGGAGCGGAGAATAAATGGCAACCGGAGCTAAACATTGGCATGTATGTGTTTAGTGTATTTTTCATATTTCATGTATTTTTATTATGTTGGCCTGCTATATTTGTGTTTGTGCTTGTGTTTGTGGTGTAGTAATGTTTTCCTTGTTTGTTGTACTAAATTTTATTTTAATTGAAGTGAAAGTTAAGTTTAAGTGCTTGTGTTGTTATATGAAACTATCAAACGAATGAGGAACTAAAAAAAGTAATGGGCATATTCGATTAAATATTGTTGTTAATGTATACAAAAATATTATTTACACCAAAAAAAAAAAGGACGAATCAATGTGTCCCGTATCCGGTGTGTCTCAATGCAACCGTTGGCCTGAGCCGAATCCCCTCCCGCCCGGGTGCACTATCAGGATCATCATCATCAAGTCGTCTCCTTATAGCCGGATGCGGCGCAGGATGACATGTATCGGTGTTGTAGTCAGGTCCAGTAAAAGCCTACATAATAATATGAAACTTAGTATAGAAAACTACATAATAATTCACAACAATTTATATTGTCTTACCATCATCGTGTCTGGATCCTGAATGTAGTCATTTGTCGCAGCATCGCATGAAGCCTTAAAAAGGAAATTAATAAATTTAAAGAAAATAAATAAGTTACAGTTAAAACTAATTCAAATTCAATACTAATAAACTCATACCTGCGCATGTGATGTGGAGCCATAACTCAGTTGGCGCCCACTATAAAAATCTCGGGTCGGTCGCTCATCATCAATAGTAGACGGGCTTGGGAAGTATCTACCCAATCCACTCCTTGAATATACGAGCCCGTGATCAATAATTGACCCGGTGGGGTCACCTGCGATGGCACTGGAGTGCGATAAATTCCAAGGTTGTAAGACGGCATGTCCGTCTCATGCATGCCACCTGCCATATCAGCAGCAACATCATCAGCAGAAGCCTCAACGCCCTTGCTGGGGATCACCTCCTCTCCGCCCACGACCATGTTGTCCGGCACCACCAGCTCGTCAGGAACGTCCAGCTCGTGGACTCGGTATAGGCTGTGGCATGTCAAACTGATAAAATACCCGCTCGGAGGCATGATGCTCAACAATATCGAGGCATATGAGCTGGACAGAAGCCCTCCAAATATGTCGGCCGAACTTGCAATACGCTGGCAGGGTACCTATCACCTCATCGCTGTACGACATCCAGATGAACTATCAAATAAGAACACAAACCGTTAGTATGCGCAACACTAAGTTAATCTATAACAGGTAAGTTTAGTTAGATATTCACATGTGCATCCTCCAACAGATCCAACACATCCCTGTAGAGGGGGAGAATATGATGGGCATTATACTCTCGTGCAAGAGTACGACGCAAAAACCACCTACAGGCTAGAAGGAGATGCAAAATTTCTACATTAGCCGGTAGCTGTGGTAGAGTGGCTGAAACTGCAGAAATCGCTCCCAGGCCCAAACCTAACATACAAAGTTGATGTAAAGTATAAGATTAACTATAACTAGGTAGAATTGTAACTAATGGACATATTATTTGAATATGTTGTCACCTGTAGAAGCGGCAGAAAGCCACCAACGTCTCTCTGTGTGCCGATAAAAGCCCGACACATCTGCCTATACAAATATGAGATGACAACACCACCCCAGTTGTAGATGACTGTATCCTCAAACCGACCAATATGATGCAGAAAACGGAGGCTCACTAGGTTCCCCGAAGTGTTCGGGAACAAGACCCCCAAGTAGAAGGAGCAACAACACCCTCATATATCGTTGTACATCCACCTCCGCTGACTCGTCGGTGATAGTATGGTGGATCTGCTCCAGGTGGTCTCTAATGGGGACCAACTACATACAACTGGACCCAGACGCTACAGTCTCGTCCTCCGGCCTGAAACCCATGAGCATGTGCAACATATCCCAATAAGACTGTCGCGAATAATATCTTATGGTCGCAGGCAGTAAAACTGGCAAGCCATCAACGGACAAGCCATATAAAATCTCAGCGTCCTGGAGTGTGATGGTGGCCTCGCCGACGGGCAGATGGAAAGTGTGCGTCTCCGGTCGTCACCGCTCAATCAAGGCCGTGATCAAAGCCTGGTCGAGCTGTATCCGACCAATCCTAATAATCCTATATAATCCAATCTCCTCCAGGTAATGGACCACGCGGGGAAGTAGAACTCTATGACTCAAAAATCCCACAATAGATCCACTCTCCTGGCCCGGAAAGTTTGCATAAGCAAATGTCCGTCCCATATATACTCGGATCTATGCGGGGGCTGTAGGGCTAATAGATCCAATGTCCGAGGGCCGGGATGTATAGTCGCGTCCATGTCATCAACTGTAAATTAAAACAACACTAATTGTATTTTATTCTGTATATTAAATATTAATTTTTTGAGATACACAATTTTTAGCATTATACAAAAATTATACTTATGGGTTCCAGGCTCGATATTTGAATCCCAGTAGCACCAAACTATCATTAATAATTATGTGTTTGTTTTATAATTTAAATTCATACTTTTTAATAACTTAATTGTACGTATATATATGTATATATATTTTGAAGCCCAGTGGCACCAAACTATTATTAATAATTATATGTTTGTTTTATAATTTAAATTCATATTTTTAATAACTTAATTGTACAAATNAATCAGGATATTAACAAACAAATTTTTGACAAATTTATATTTTTTTATAAAACACTAATATTAAATTCGGATAAATTTAACATACTAGTTTCGGAAAAAAAATACAAACCGAAATAGAACACATACAAATCAAATAATATGCATTATTATAAAAGTTTCAACTTAAAATAAACCGAAATACCTCGATTTAGAATTTTCGGAAAGCAAATAGATTGAAATTTTGACTCCGGAAGTGTGAATCAACAATAATACGAAGCTCTACTCGAATGTGAGACCTACGTTCTTCACCTTTTATGTGACGGGGGACCCAAATTTTGTTTTTTTAAAATGGTGGGGCAGCGGGTATGAGAGTGGGGGACCAAGAAGAAGAATATGTAAAATATTGAGGAAGAAGAAGCAGAATCGTTGTCTTGAAGAAGACATCTCGATTTTTAAAAAATATAACGTCGGGTTTTTGGATGCTATACCTGTTAGTGTCAGCTTTTTATATATAGCGCTCAAATACTGAGCGTTATACATTAACGACACAGTTAACGTTAATATATAGTGACGCTATATATAAAAATATCATTTTTTTTTATACCTATTAAGATGCTACTTGTAAAAAAATACCACATTTTGATTCCAATGAATGAAAACATAATGAAGTGACAAATTGGCAGTTCCTTTGCCATCGGATTCTATCCAAGATTTAATGGTCAGAGGAAACACTTTAGATTTATCACTCAATGCCAAACACACACGTGACGCCAAAAACCCATATCACATCTTGATATGACGTCCATGTACATCCATTTTATGGTCAAAACTTACAAAAAACATCCCCTCTAACACATTACAGTGGAGTATTTCTTTTGAAGCAGGAGCCGGATCCAGTACTTCGGCACCCGGTTCATCTAAAATGACCATATAGATATTTTCTGCGCCATCTATATTTTACTGTGAAAATTCAATAAGTATAGTTAGAACTCATAAGCTTCAAAATACATTGAATTTAGTGTCGAACATTTTAACGATCGAATTCACCAAATTAAAATACATTTTAACGATCCGAAATTATTAGGCAATGTATAAATACTATACTTTAATTTCGGATAGTCAGTAATTCCTTTATATTTTCCTCCAAATTATTACCTTTACAATTGTTAGATTTAGCTATATTGACACCATAGTACTCTCATAATTGCATAAACATGAATTTTTCTTAATGTATTACCTCTTTTACAAAGAAAATATACATAGTAGTTTGCAACTTTGAGGCATAATAATATCCGAAATCCGATCTGATCCAAACTTTAAAATCCGATCCAATCCGATATAATTCGGATTCAGATTCGGATTGCATTTTCTAGAATCCGAAATCCGAAATTTAAATCCAAAATGTGCTAAATCCGATCCGATCCGTGCACAGGCCTATTAGAAGTACACATGATAAGATTCTTTCATTTTTAACCGGATGTTTTCGAATTAATTCGAAAAATAGAATACTTCCTGCAGTCCATTTTAATTATTTATATATATATATATATATTAAGGAATTCACCTTTTAGCATTAATTAATAATAAAATTGACTTTATAATCTTAATTTATTTATTGAAAGTATACTCGCAGGGTCTTAGGGCAATTCCTTGTTGATATGTGAAAAAATTATAGTGAACTGGAGGGAGAACCTTTTTGGTAGGTAATGTTTTAGTGGGCCTTATGCATATTGAATTTGAATTAATCAACCAAATGAATTTTGAATATCGGATGCATATATAACTTTAAAATATTGAAAATTGTATATTTTTAGCAATTTCCAAGAATATAGCCAGCAACTTTATTAGTTTTGGATTACCTGACCAAATTTGTATTTTGCGTAAAGGAAAAGGTCCGTCTACCCCTTGGTTGTTGTCACTCCAAGATCGCAGGGCCTCTATATAAATACAAACATCTACTAGTAACAGAGAAAGAGGGTCCCCTAGGGTCAGGGTGGTTGGGGGTCTTATTTTGCAATACCACCTCAGATTAGTACCAATATGTTGGTCTCATACTTCTCCCCTTCATTCATGGCATGCTTACAAAAATAACACCGCTGACCACCACAAGTTATTTTCTTCAATGACTAGTCCTAGAATCTCTTTCTCTACTGACTTCATCGATTCATCTCAACAACAACATCATCAGCACATGATGAAGAATGATACGACATCGTATTACAGAGATGCTCCTGTTTCCTCTGACTTTGAATTCTCCGTCGCTAATCATTCTATAATTACTGGTGCTGACGAGCTTTTCTCTAAAGGTAGACTTTTGCCTTTCAAAGAGAAGAGTAGTAGTAGTAGTACTACTACTACTACTACTCTAAGAGATGAACTCCTTAATAATGACGAAGATGATTTTACTTTGAGGATACCCAAAAGTAGTAGTTCTACGACTAGGTGGAAAGGTCTACTTGGCCTTAAAAAATCTCATATTGGGTCCAAGAAAATCGACAAGAAAAATGAAGAAAAAAGGTCTGACGAGCTAGTTCATGGCACCAACAATTCCCAGGTAGGTACATTTATGCCAAAAAAAAAGTATAAAAAATAGAGGATTTTTTTTTTGTCTAGTAAAATCAAGAATTTGATGAGTGTTCTTTTCTGCAGGAAACATACAATGGCTCTGGTAGTGGATCCAGTTGTAGAGATATGGAGTGTCGTTTTAATTGATCATATTGTCTGCAGTGGGCATAACAAAGATTTTAAGAAGGTATTTTGGGGATGAAAAGGCTTCTGTTTTTTGGTTCAATTTTGGGAGAATCATACAGATTCTGATTTATATGTGGTTAGAAGCCTAAAGCTCATCATTTGTCCTATGGTGTTCTTTCGTTTCAATCTACTGTTAAATATGTACTAGTAGAAGTTGGGGGGTTTTTAGAAAATTGGCAAATGAGATTGTTGAATCATAATTTTCATCCCAAAATTTCCAGATGAAATGACAGCTATAGTGCATTGCGGCTCTATAATGATTTATTGAGAAGGCGACCCCCACTGCTCTTTTCCCTTGCAATGAATTCTTGATTCCATTTTACTCAATTCAATATGTTGACATGCTATTTAATACTTAGTGCATACTGTAGTATTATTGTTCCTAAATACTACTAATACTAGTATAGTACATGACAAATTATTTTTAATTTCCTTGTTTTTTTCCAACCATATTGTTATTTATTAGTATTAGTATTAAAGAATAGAGAAGGAAGTCAAACAGTCAAAATGACAGAGGGGGAACAGCTGGAAGGGAAGAAGCACAAACCTCCAAATTAAATTTCACTTTTCCCAATCTGAATCTGACTGAGAAATTGATAAACGTGCAATTGAATTTTCCTGTGTTAGAAGAATATTACTGTGAGATAATGCGATAGCGTGGGAACTGCCGGTCAAAACGTACTTAGCTACTCTTTTCCTCAGAAGTCATTTTGCAAAGAAGCTTCCTCTTTTTGAAGCCGGAAAATTGTTTAAAGTATATTTTGTAATCAATAACAAGTAATATTTTTCGGCGAAAGTAATTCAGTTGACTATCCTTGGACCAATATAGCTTCGCCCCTGTCAGCCCCACCAATTTTGTTACTGTTTTATCTATTTAACCCCACGCCCTATCATATAATATCACATTATATGAAATGGATGAAAAGAAAAAAAAATATTTTACAAGTGAAGTTTTCAAAATTCAACAACAATAAAAGAATATGTGTGAGAATTTACCACATAGTAGATATGGATTTAAGTCCCATTGTCCTTCCGTTTTCCCTTTGACAATGTTTCTATGCAATAAACAAATTTTTAAAAGAAAAGTTAAAAAATTCAACAAATAAACGCATAGTGCCAGAGAAAATTAGCGACAATCCTTGATTATCCTAATTAACCATTTTGCTAAGTCCTCATTATAACCCTTATATTTAAAGGTTCTCGTTCGGTTTAGTGTCAACCCAGTTACAATTCGTTTACCTTCAACAATCAGAATCACCAATTCACCATAGTTGTTATATTAATGTTTGCTTGTTTCTCCTTATTTTTAAAATGTCAAATCAATTATGGTGTTATACGAGCCACCAGGCAATGGTTGAGTATATCTAGGCCAAGTACCAGAATTGGCAGTCTCTGTATAGTTTGCGAATAGCCCAATTTCATAACTTTTTGGAAGGTATTTTTGAAATAGTATTAAATTTTTTCTTTTTCAAAGTTCTGATTGCTTATTGTTATTTGAATTTGTCTTTTAACCATAAAAGATAAATCGAGCCATTTTAGTAACAGCAGGAATAGAAACGAGATACTTATTTTAACGAAGGATAAAATTGCTTTGTTTCACATAGTTGACGATTTTAAACAACGTTGACGATTTTTGCACATACATTGAAAAATCACTTTAATTACTAGTATTAATAAAAAAAACTTGTTTGACAAAATTACCATTTATTCTTCTCAAAAAAATGAATAATAACTGTTGAAAAACTTCTAAAAATTTGTATACATCACATACTTAAAAAGAAAATTTAACGCTTTCTTAATTGTCTAAAGTGCCACTTATTTCAGACTAAATTTGTTTGTCTAAAACAACATTTAAAATTATAGCGGAGGTAGTATTAAACAATCCTTTGGAAAATTTTGTTTTACTCCAATGATCAAACAAAACTTAAACAGTGATCATAGAGTCTCGAAAATGTTGGCAAACCAGTCCTTGGAAAATCTTAGCTAGGTCTTCAGGCTTACATAGTAAAGGGCAGCCCAGTGCACTAAAGCTCCCACTATGCGCGGGGTCCGGAAAAGGGCCGAACCACAAGGGTCTACCTTACATAGTACTTCAACACAATAACAGCAGAGTTTAGCAGTCAAAAGTACAATTATCAAGCTCTCTAAGTGTTACTAAGAGTTACTAACAACATTCTCCATTTGCTGCATACTGCTTAAAATAAAGTTGAAACATAGAGAACACTACCATGGGGCATTAACTTCTCCTTGGAACATAAGCTCATAGCTCTCAGCTTTTGATTTCAGAGCCTCAACATCAGCACCATATTTTTCAGAAGTTTTTTTCAGTTCCACAAGTTTTGTTTCAAGATTCCTTATCTCATCTTCAGCTCGAGACCACTCGTTTTTAGCTTCCCAGTACCTCTTGGTGTCTGAAGCACCTTCTGAATCGAATGCAAGACTCACCAACCAGCGCAGACGAGTCCTCAGAAATCCAACATTCATGCCTAGAAGTTCAAAAGATTTCAATGACTTCTCCCATATATCAAATTCCGTACGCTTGGTGGTGAGCTTGCAAGCTCTTATCGCATCAGCAATGTTGACGACTTCAAAAATCACACCAGCAACCAACTTACAATGAAGGCCTTGTAGAAGACGATCATGAAGAAAAGCGCTTTTATTGCAGCATAACTCGTAGTACTTTCTTCTTATATCTTCAGGAAGTTCAGAGTCTATGCATACTCCATTCACCAAAATGTGGAACTCCTCAAGGTTCTTAATGTCTCTAAAATTAACAGCAAGTCCAGAGGACCTTGAGCCCTCTAAACTTTCTGAAGCAACCTCATCGCTATCATTTCCCGACTGTGCCTCCAGTGCCAGAAGTTGTTTACTCAGATCCGCCTTTCGTCTCCTCCTATGCACAACAGTTAAGGGAAGAGACTTCTTTTGACGCTTCTTTAAGTTATGAGCAGGAGCTCCCTCTGACATGTCACAAGTTGGAAACAAGTTGCTTAGAAGGACCACAAAAAACCGCAAAATATACTACATTTAACAGAATGTGAACGGTGCTTACTGACCTGCATCACTTTGCTTGGGAGGTGCATCCAAATTTAGAAGGCTAAGAGCGCCATCCACCTCCTTTAGATCATTCGCTCTTATGACGTACACCTATGAATTCAAACAAAGTTTAGATTAAGATTGCTGCTAAAGATCTGTGAATTTGCAGTTAGAAAAACTTTCCTTCAATTTCCACATATCTGTTTCACTTCATGGTGACAATTCATACTGAGATGTCGTATAATATCTGATAATAGGCCTATGATGAAAACCATCATCACTTGCAACGGATATGCTGTTAGCTGGATAACAATTCATATAAATTCATAGAGCAGTTTTTAGTAGCCCTAATTCAATCAGAAGTTGACTCTCAAGTCTGCAAAGTTGATCAGGTAAATATCAGGTGCTGCTACAGAAATAACTGTATTTGTGATTCTCTATACCCCTAATAAACAGCTGTTGCACAAAGTCGATAATCATCCCCACCTTCAAATGTTTAGACTTTGTCACTGTGACATACAAATGAGTCTGTCTGCCATAATTATGTTTATCCACTACGACATACATTTTCCACCTTCTCCATTCTTTGCAGTAAAAGGAATTGCGACATACATTTGCCATCTTCACCATTCTTTGCAGTAAAAGCATGCACTCAATGACAAGACTAATTGGTATCCTTTTACCTTTGGTACCTTACAAAGAATCCACAGTATTTTGTAGAATGTTTCCTCGAGTAAGACTAACAAGTGCATACCTGCCCTCAATTTTAGGTACCATGTGACCCAAAGTTTAAATAGAAATAAATTTCTACTAATAGTACACAGATACCTTGATAGATGCTTGGCCTGTAAACAGAAGCTCCTTTAAGGATTAAGTTTGCTTGCTCCAATGTTTTCCCTTAGAATCTAATGTTGATCAAATTTTTAAAAGAATTAAACACACATGTTGACATATAGCTACACAAGCTAAGTTAGGTCACAACAATTTCCTGAATGGTGTGAAATATAATATAAAACTACAATTCCATCTCTATCCACAGTTGACTCAATTATTTTATGAAAAGAACTCTTCCTACATGAGGAACCAAGGTATGACTGCTTATCTCATCATTAGATGGATCTTATGCCAGCGTAGAACAAGTTAGGTTACTTAACCTTACTTGGTTCACATCAATGGTGATGCCGTGCCAGTTCGAAGGCTGTTAATTTCAGTTCTAGGACTTGGCTGCCTGTTATAGATCCAGTTGTTCAACTGCTAAAGCGAAGGCATATGGGGCTTAATGTAATGTTGATAAGGCAGTGTCCAGAGAGTATTCATGAGGCCTTAGCAGAACAACGCTGGGGAACCAAGCAAGAAGTGAACCACAGCAAAAAGCATCTCTATCTGGATCCAGCATAGACCAAGGAAAAATGAATCCTTTACGGGGGACAAGCTCTTCACAGATACCTACAAACCTTACGACAATGATAGTTCTCTTTACAAACCTAGAACTCAATAACATGCCTTCTCTTCATGTTTGGACTTGAATAGTTCAGCACCGGGCTGAAATCGTTTTTACTGCAATTCACACTCCTGTTGCAGAATTTTGATAGACGTGTGGATAAGTTGGTTTTACATGGTGACATCATTCTTATATGCCAGGAAATGGGAAAAAGAAAATCAATCCCGCTTATCAGTAAACACAGTTATCTGCTACACTTTGTACAGGCAGATGGACTAGTAGGGTATGGCATATAAACAATGCACAAAGCTTAGTTAAGCATGTAAAAAACTGTTTAAAAGAAGAAACTTGGAGTGTCACCTTGAATCTAGTAGGCGCAACTAGTTGGAAAACTAAAACATCACCCTCAACCAACTTGTGAGCAGTGCAATACTTTCTCCATCCTGCACTAAGTCCGGTCTTTTCAGCAATATACTTTATCTCAAATTCTTCGCCGGTCTCGCTTTCAAGAATAACTGGAGTGTCCTTTCTCGGTAGATGGTTCTTGCAGAATGGCACAGGAAGTCCCTATTGTATGGATGGTAGAAAACAAAAATTAGAGGGTTAAGTAAATATTTCCTTAACTAAATCCAAAGCTAAGTTGTTTAGACAAAACTCACCATCCAAAAACAACTACCAACATGTGATCTAACTAATAATTTCATGAAGCTGGGATATTCATTCCCTATATTTGACAGGAACTCCTCTGCTCGAATGATGATTGGTGATTTCATTTGGGTAGCAGTACCAGACCCATCAGCTGTACATCTCTCTTGTTTGGTGCTTAATGAAAATAGAAAATAACTGTCACTCTCAAGTATCAAAGGTTGACAACTGTGGAAGAATAGCCAAAGAATATGTTGTACAAACACACTCACCTAATTGACTTGCCCCCAGCATCACCTACTGCCTGCTCAAGAGTAAGAGGAACAGCAATAGAGCTGTTAATTTCATTTATTGGTACATATAAACAGTAATGGAATGTGACTAAAACTAGACAATTTAGGAAATTATGTAAGATCACAACTATTTTCTGAATCTAAAATTGGCATAACAACAGATATCTTCTGAAATATTACCTTAATGCCGAATGCAACAGGAAGGAAAATGATACCCAGAAAAAGGGATTACTACCATGCGAGCTAATGAGGTATTGGCATCATGGAGTGGGATGAGAATGCAGTTTGTACATTTCATATAAATCTTAAATTTTGTGCAGTAACGATAACTTATTTTGTTATTCAAAATAATAACAGAAAAACTGAAAGCTCATTTCTTCCCGTTATAGTATTAGCCAATGGGAGTAATCTGAAGCCACTCCAGATAGTCCTAGACCAAACTTAGACTTCTAGTTTGCAAACACAAATTTTTTATGAGTTTGAATCAACTTTAAGTCAACCCCAATTAAGCTCCATTCATGATGTGCTCAGCTGTCACAACTAGTTTCACCTCCTGTAGTGATCACTCCTACTTTAGAAACTCTACATCATATTACATTCCCATTCTATTTAAACTGATCAAGTAAGCTCCATTCATGATGTGCTCAGCTGTCACAACTAGTTTCATCTCCTGTAGTGATCACTCCTACTTTAGAAACTCTACATCATATTACATTCCCACTCTATTTAAACTGCTCAAGTACCTAATAAGAACCAGTTCACATCAGATTTAAGCAAAGAACCTGAAAAGACTAATTAAAGAAACCTATAACAGAAATAGGTCTTTTCAACAGGGAAATGTTGTGGTTGCTTAAGTAACTTGATAGCCGGCTTAGGCTAGAGACAATGCGGGTTTCATTTTACATCAGCCTGTTTGCTAAAATTGTCCCGTCCCAGGTCTATGCAAGTTGCAATTGAAGAGATCCTAATTGTCAATGAGGGTTGAGCAGTTAGAGAGACTTGGAGTTGCAAATTACTGTAGCAATTAGTTGAATCTTTATCAGCAAACAAAAGGGAATAAATGTAAGGTTATAACCAGGCAACAAATTTGACCAAATATCAAGTGATCCATAGTTGATTTAAGAGAAGGGTATCTCACATTGTTGGATTGAGAAGCAGAAGGTTGTTTCTTGATTGCCCTCTTCCTCCTGAAGGGAATTGGTGAAATCTGATCAATTATCTCCTTGGGCTTCCTCCTTCTTTTACCCTGAACAACAGTGGAGCCCAGATCCAACAATCAATTCAGTAAATCAAGACAGGCAAAAAGCAAAACAAAAGTTGCACAAAATTAGAGCAAAAAGAAATACCAGCAAGGAAGATGAGAGAGTTTGGGCAGATAGAGTTACAGAGTTAATTGGGTTGGAAGCATCAACAACACTCAAATTGTTGTCTTTGCTTGAAGCAGGCTCAGGGTCAGGGTCAGGGTCAGGTTCAGGGAGTTGAGTTCCAAGTGGTTCCTCATCAAAAACTTCCTTCTTGGGTGTATCTGGATAGGAAATACGATGTTCTTGAGTTGGGGGTTCACTTCGATGAACTACTTTTATCTTCATTTTGCTGTAGGAATTAGAATAAAGATTGTGGCTTTTTTTAGCAGATCCTTTTCCTACCAGTCCTGGCTGGAAAACTAGAGAGAGAGGGCTTTTGGCTTAGGTGTTCGGTCGAGGGTATATTGGATGGCCGTTTCGTTTGGTTGAACGGTTAAAGAAACATCCACAAAACAAACAATTACAGATGCATTTTGTGGTTTGATCTTTCCTGGATTGCAATATTACTGCAACAATGGGANCAAGTCTAGTCTAGTAAAACACGGAACAGACTTGGGACTAAAGAAGACCATTCGTTGTGACATGAATGTGAATATATTGCACCAATACGCATATAAGGAACGAGAAAAATTCTATACGAATACCTTATTTAGTCGAGTTCATACAACATAGTTTAGTACTACTTATTAATTAGATGGTGGTATTGAACATTTACCTATTAACGTGCTAAAAATTGGCTCATTAGTGGCGGACTGCCTACTTCAACAATGTATAACCAAAACCACAGTATTCCAGCCAGTGCTTAGTCATAAATGTTGCAATTTGGGTCAAGTAATAGTACTTATTCTTATCCAGGCTAGATTCAGTGCCCAGGACCCTTTTCATGTATCTCTACACAACACTGAAATTAAAGAAGCTTCTCGAGTTAGTTTTTGCACCTTGATCTTATGTTGCCTTTTGCTCTTGTTTGGAGTACGCCATCAAACTAGGAGATCAACAAGAGTACCAATAGTCCTGTAAACTTTCTTATCGTTTTAATTCCATAAGCATCAATTTCAGTATCCAATTTTCTCGCGAGTCCAGTTCCTTTTTTCAACAACAAAAAAAAAAAAACCCCATCTAGTGAAGGCATGTATATCAAACGAATTCACAATCAACAAGTGCAATTGGTAAAGATCAAAAAAGAAAAAGCACTTACTCGTGACAATGTCGAGCACTCGAGCAAGAGTGCTAGCTGGCTTGGTCTCTAATCTCTATAGTTACTGAATGCCTGAATTTGGTTCCTGGCATAAAAAACATTGATCATGTGCACCCACATACTAAAACAGGTATGACTTTTTCCTCTTTTACTTATGGTCAAAGACTATCGTAACTACTTGACTTATATATAAAGCAAATTGATGGGGTTCACTAATCACTTAGGCCAATTTTTTTTAGCTCTTTGGAATTAAATTGTATGAAAGAACTATAGACAACTATATATATTGTGATAACTATATACATGCAATTCAGTAGATTAGGGACCAAATTTCAGTTGAATAAGCAGAGTAAACTTTCATGACTTTGTAAGTACTTCCACAAAATTTGAGCAGGTCATGTTTTGCCTTATCCGCCTATCCAAATGTTTAATTAGCATGAATAGTCTATAGAAAACGTTATTGTAAAGGTAGCTTTGTTCGCTAAGGTTTACGACACCTAACTCTCTCTTATATATATTTATTCAACAATATTAAAGGAATATTGTTATATTGAAGGGTGGAATAGTCGTTTAGCTTTTGAAGGATATTTTAGTAAAATAACTTCATGTAAAAGTCTTCACACTTATAATATATANTTAAGATAAAAATGCGTACATATGCCAGCTAAATAGGAATCCAGCATTGGATTCTAATGTAACAACCTATTACACCATTGACTACCTCGTGTCCCTACTAGAAGGGATTTAATAGGACTTAATTGTAAAAACAAGAAAATAAAGATAGGGACTAAACTGAACATAGTAAGACTGTGGACCTCTACTACTAAGCTTAATTCATGACAATCCATCTCCCTTTAAGGAACCTTGTCCTCAAGGTTCATTAAAATTTGGAAACTGCGACCGAATGAAACTATAATCTTCCCAAGTGGCCTCTTCATGAAGTAAGTTTGCCCACTACATCAAGACCTGCACCACTGCAGCATTTCCTCTTTTGATCATCATTCTTCTATCCAAGATTGTTATAGGCTCTACTAAAGGTTGGCCATCTGCAAAACAGACTGGAGGATCAATGGATGGAGGAACCTGAGATCCTACTTTTTTCTTCAGCTGAGATATGTGAAAAACAGAGTGAATTCTAGCAGAAGGAGGCAATTGAAGCTCATATGCAATATGACTGATTTTCTTAATCATTTGATAAAGGCCATAATACTTAGATGTTAGCTTCAAGTTGCTCCTTATAGCCACACTAGTCTGTCTATAAGGTTGAAGCTTGAGGAAAACCCAATCCCCAACTTCTAGCTCCCTTTCAGTCCTTTTCTTGTCAGCATAAAACTTCATTCTCTTTTGTGTCTTCTCTAGATTTACTTTTAGAATCTTAGTCATTATTTGCCTTTCCTGCAACCATTGATCAGCTTCAACTACGTTAGACTATATCACCAGCTCAAAGGAGAGTTGAGGAGGGTCATATCCATATAAAATCTTGAAAGGGGTTGATTGAGTAGATGTGTGGTAATTGGAATTATACCAATACTCAGCTAGAGACAACCATTTGTGCCAATCTTTGGGTTTGTGCCCACTCATGCATCTCAGATAGTTCTCCATACATTGATTCACCCTCTCAGATTGCCCATCTAATTGAGGATGATAGGCAAAACTGAATTTCAACTATGTCTTCAAACCCTTAAACAACTCCTTCCAAAACAAGCTCAAGAATATTTTGTCCATGTCACTCACAATACTAGTAGGCAACCCATGTAGCCTGTAGATATTGTCCATGAACAATCTAGCAACTTGTACAACAGTAAAAGGATGAGAAAGAGATAAGAAATATGCATATTTGCTGAATCCGTCCACAACAACGAAGATTATATTCTTCCCCTCAGACTTAGGGAGACATTCAATGAAATCCATGATTATATACTCACATGGTCTAGAAGGAAGTGACAATAGTTGTAGTAGCCCCAGATAAGCTACATGCTCTCCCTTACACCTTTGACAAACATCATATTCCAGAACCACCTTTTTAATATCAGCTAGCAAAGAAGGCCAATAGAAAATGGCCTTAATCCTTTGCATAGTAGTAGTGACTCCAGAATGACCTCCCAGACCTGTAGAGTGAATGTGTTGCACCAGTTGTTGTCTCAGTTGAGTACCATTTCCTACCCATACCTTGCCTTTATACTTCATCAATCCATTTTGTAGGATCACATTGGCTGCTGCAGCAGGATCCAGAAGCACTTGAGTCATGATTTGGGTTACTTCCTGATCTCCATCATAACTACTAATGATCTCTTCCACCCATTTTGGCTGAATTTGAGAGATGTCACAACACTCAGCACCAACATCATGCATCCTAGAGAATGCATCAGCTATAGTGTTCTCACTGCCCTTCTTGTAATGTATCTCATAGCTAAGACCCATTAATTTTGTCAATCCTTTTGTGCTGAAGAGAGGTCATGATCTTTTGGTCTTGAAGGAACTTGAGACTGAAGTGATCAGTTCTGATGATGAAGTGGTTTGGGTGTAGGTAGTGTCTCCACTTATCGACTGCCATTAATAAGGCTATCAACTCTTTTTCATAAGTTGATAGGCCTTGATGCTTCTTGCTCAAAACTTGACTTAAGTAAGCAACTAGTTGCTTATTTTGCAAAAGTACAGCCCCCACTCTAGTACCACATGCATCTACATCGACTATGAAAAGTTTGTTGAAGTCCGGTAGTGCTAGTAGAGGAGCAGAAGTCATTACTTTCTTCAATTTTTGGAATGCCTCAGTTGCTTCTTCACTCCATTCAAATGCTCCTTTCTTAAGCAGGGAAGTAAGAGGTTTACTGACTTAAGCATAATTTCTTATAAACCTTCTGTTGTAACTTGTAAGACCAAGGAATCCTCTTAATTCCTTAATAGTTTATGGCTGAGGCCACTCTAACATTGCAGCTACCTTGTTTAGAATTAGTACCAACCCCATTACCAGTAATCGCATGTCCTAAATACTCGATTCTATCCTGAGCAAAGGCACACTTTGATCTTTTCCCTTAATAGCTGCAACACAACTTGCAAAGTGTTTCAAATGATACTCCATAGACAAACTATATATTACAATGTCGTCGAAGAATACCAATATGAACTTTTTGAGATAAGACCCAAAGACTTGATGCCTAAGGGATTGAAATGTTGCAGGGGCATTAGTGAGGCCAAAATGCATCACCTTAAATTGCCAGAGGCCATAGTGAGTCCGGAATGCAGTTTTATGCTCATTGTTGATACTAATTATTTCCTATAATATTTTTTCAAAATGCATATATACCTCCAAAACTATGAATTAGCATTAATTAATATTTTTTCCATAATTTCTGCATTTTAAGGGTTTTAATTAATTTATCCCAGTATTTTTATTTATATAAAAAATTACTAATTGCATCATAAATGATTTTATAATTTTGTGGCTTAATTTTATCATTTGTATTTGTACTAAGTTTTAATTATTTCACAAATAGCCACATTTGTATTTTTGGGTTATAGTTGCAATAACTTTGCAATTATAGTCCATGTATGCATTATTACATTATTTTACCACAAAATAGTTTTTTGTATTTTTTAAAATACTAAGTAATTGTTTTAAAATATTTCTAGGCATGAAAATTATTTTTTATAATCTATTAATTATTTTTTAAAATTATTTTATCAATTAATTGAGTATTTAACAAATAGCTCTTTTATTCCTTTTATTTTCGGACTTAACCCATTAAACTAGCCCAAACCCTTTAATATACCAGCCCAATTTCAACCCCAGGCCCAATCTATACCTGCCCGGCCCAATGACCCCGTTTAATCGTGGCCGTTGATCTTTTAGATCAACGGTCCATAACAATACTTACCATTTTAATTCAACAGCCAACCCTAAACCTCCCCCCTCTCACTCTTTCATTTCCGCCGTCATTGGTTTCTCTAGCCTCTCCAATTCTCTCTCAACCCAACCTAAATCATAATCGCCATCACCGACGAAAAGCTCCCATCTATGGAGTTTCCGTGCATTCTCCGACCACCACCAGCCTTCTATATCCCCTGGCTATTTGATTACATATATCCTTGAGAGAATCTCATGGAGATTCAACCCGGTTCTTGCCAAAATTTGTCTATAGGCCTGTCTGTGTCCTTTCTCGTTTGTTAGTATGGGTTTCCTCTTATTTCTTTTAGTGCGAATCCATAGTTTTTGGCCGATTTTCTTTGACCTCTACTGTTTTTGAAAACCCTAGTTTTGCTACTATTCGAATATGTTCAAATCTTTGTAGATCTAAAATGGTTCGAGTATTAGAAGG